TATTCTTCTGTATGAGTAGAAATTTGTCTCTCACCACAACTTGCTATCATCCAAGTATTTTATTGCTCTTGTAATCATTGGGATGCACAATATTGAACATTTCAGCCTAAATGTGTAGCTATCTGCAAAGTTATAAACCAGCATCTCTAAATTCAAGGTTTTTATGCAATTTAACTCTGCTTACATGTGGCTGATTGCAGCTAGGTGTTTAAAACTTTTATCATTAGCATGCCATAACTACATCTACCACCTCCTCCCCCTCGTTTGCACTTCATGCCTTTTGCGTTTCTGTCTTGCAGTTTCAATGTTGAACAGTGTATTAATATTTTTTCTGATACTGTTATCTAAAAGAGAGTTAATTTTATTCTCATTTAAATGTTTCAAATAGTACTGCTAGGAATATTGCTAAAGTTTTTAATTCCAAATACTGAATAATGTCTCCATATTTTCTGTAAGTACATATTTTACAGCAGTAATCTTCCACACCAAACTGGTGATGGTCTTACCATTTTTTAGCTAATCATTTGATTCTCAGTTTTGTCTGTTAGTAGGAGTGCATTTATATATAACTCTTGGCCACATTATGCATGTAATTAATTCTTCTCCAGAGCATAAACTAGAGGGTTGCCACACTACCTGGAAAACTGGGCAAATTAAAAATGGCGCCAAAAGTGTCAGGGAATTTAATTATTTTAGTCAAGAAGTCAGCGAATTTCACACAGCAATCCCCCAAAAAAGCAATTTTCATGCCAACGTTGCAAGCGATCATTTTCTTGGCGAATTGTGTGTAGTGTGAGCATCATTCAGGCAACTGGCAGAGAGCCAATTTTTCCAGTGTCTTTGTTCCAGTAGCCTTCTGAATATGTTACGATATGTCAGATCTGCTCATGGTGTATATCATCAAGCACTCAAAGGCAAAAAAACAGTGCAATGGTAAACATACGAAAGTGTTTTTGGATAAAAGATAAAAATTTTGGAATAAAAAAAATTAAGCAGAGATGTTTCTTCAGTTGGCTTAAAAATAGATTTAAAACAAGAAATCTAGTTTAGTGCTGATTTTTCATTAGTATTATTCTATTAATGTTTTGTTTTAATATGCTAAATGTCTTTTTTTTTATCTTGAATTCTAATAAAAAATTACATTTAATTTGTGTTATATAGGCTTATATTAAAAGTTTTTCATCAAAAGTCTGTTGACTTCTTAAAAAAAGAAAAGTGTTTCTTTGACATTTCAGAATTTAGCAAGTGTTGTAATATCACTGAGGTGATTGCTTGGCAGTTATATATTATTTATTAGGATAGATATAACTGGCCCCCATTGCCATTCTGTGAACAATAACTTCCATTTCAGAATTTATCTGCCATACTTTTTAAAATAATAAATCTATTATTCATTTATAATTTTATCACAATGAATGGGGGAGGGGATCCAATATTTAAAAGTTCATACAATGCATTGAAAAATGAATGAATTTTATTTCTGATTTTGTTTATTACTTAGATGGAATGTATTGTAAGTATTTAATTTCTTTTGCAAATGAAAGTTACTGAGGAAAAGAACTCCTATTACAGTCATAATAGTAATGCTTTGCGTATTATATATAACGGGTGGCTAAAGTGCGGCTCGCGAGCCTGATATGTCTCTCCTAGGCAATTTATGCAGCTCATTATGCATATAAAATATATGTATGAAATATGGTGTACTAAAAATATTCAGTGTCCAAAAGGAAGTAATTAATTAGTTTAGACTCTTTTTACAAAGTTATTAACGATTTCTTTCTATTTGAAACCTCCTCCACTACTTCTGTAATGATGTAAATATGAACTTGTGGCTTTTAGAAAATTTAGATGCGGCTCTCGAACATTCCTGAATTAAACGTGTGGCTCTTACTGACGCGAAGTTTGACCAACCCTGTTATATAATATAACTATAAGTCATATGTAATTAGCAATTTTTCTTGTTTTCAAGTAGTACCATAATTAATTTACCTTTAGCACAGCCAACACACACTATGAGGATAGACTGGAATTTTCTTAAACCACACGTAGGAAACCGGAACAGTCAGGGAATTTCATTCTTCTGTTTGAGTGAGAACCCTGATAAACACTCGCGGTTTGCTTTTGTGATACCTTTCCAGATGTCACCAGATCACAATTTGACTGCATGTTTAATATATTTTGTTAATGAAATTTCACATGCATATGGCTGTATAGCTGTATAGAATTCTATATAGAAGATTCTGTGATCTTAACATGTTATTCAGTCTTGTGGGCATTAAGACTGCATATTCATAAGCTAAATTCATCTCTTTAAAAATAATAATGCAAGAAAAAGTAGAAACTGTAAAAGAAAAAAGTAGAAGATTGATGTGGATATTTAAGTATGCAACATTATGATCTCTTAATCTGTTAAATATTATTCTGAAGCTCATAACTTCCAAAACTGCATTCCTTCCAGGATTGTTTGAAACAGTATTCTGTCGGTTGATAGCAAATTACTAGAAAATGTTGCATTGCATAATTAGTAATGCTTGTCATATCAGGTCATTTGCAAACTTAACCCATGCAAATGATCCGGGGTCATTTGTAAACCTAACCCATTAAACATATTTTTCAGCTCACTCAAAATGTCATTTTAGAACAATTTTTTTTTTTTTTTTTTTTTGTAGACCATGATTTATTAGAAATGAACTAGGTGTTCAAGAAATCATAAATATTTTGAAACATTTAGCAAAAGCAAATAATCCAACTTTACTGATTTTAAGTTGCAGATGTAATTTAAATTAATTTCATAGATGGTAGTAAGAGCGATTTTTGCACTAATATATCCCTACCTCAATTTTGATATTTTTCATTTTATTTGAGTACACAATTTTTGCAGAGCTCTAAAATACCCCTTTCTATGATCTTAATACTATTATTACACATAGCTGCCGTGTGTAGTACGTTTACACTCATGAATTAATTATATGTAAATATTTGTATTTTGGTTGTCTAATTAGTTTGTTTTTGCCTTTTTTAGGTTTGTCTACTATTTTTTAGCATTTGTATATAGTTATAGGTCTAATTTGAATTTGAATACATGTAGGGAAAAGATCTGAACATTTGAGAAATATTGGAAATTTAGTTTTAAAATGAAGTTTGGTATAAAAGCGTTTTGGTCCTATTCAGAGGAGCAAACTGTATTTGGCACTCTCAACTTGTAAGGCTTCAAAACATTTTTTTCCCTTGATAAGTTCTTTTGAAGTGTTAAAACCAAAGGAGATCTAAAAAATATTTGTTTTAGTTGTTAATTAAAAAAAAAAAAAAAAAAAAAAAAAAAAAAAAAAAAAAAAAAAAAAAAACTCTTTTCTTATTTTAATTTTCATTCAAAGATTCCGTTTTTGAAAGTTTCATTAATTTGTGTTTATTCATTTTGTAACTTTTACCCAAAGCAAAAAGGTTAGATCTTCGTATCGCAGGAACAGAATTTTATTCATTTTTGTTCCAACCTTTACTTTTTGATTTTTATAAGTATTTGTATTGAGATAGGGCATTGTTCACAAATACATAAATATGTTTTCACTTAATTTTAGCTGTTTCTTATTATGTACCACATTAATGTACTTAAATCTGCTGTGATTCCTAATTTATATTTTTTTAGTAATCATTAGAGGTGCATCTCATATGCATTAAAATATTTTCATCATGCATCTAATGCCAATTTTGATGAGATGGTTAGTTAATAATTTTCTTGCTGATGAATGGATTGGCTATGCCATTGAAAAGAGATATGGTATTTTCCAGTGATCAACTATACAAGACTAGTACATTAGCACTTTATCACCACTGTCTGCATCTAATCATTGGCATGTAACCATTGTTTGTCCAACATTCTGAAATTCATAGTTGAATCCTTGAATATCATAAGATGTTAATGAATATAAAAATTATAAATAACGTTGATATATGGTGACTTTTTTTAAAATGAACTGCTGTGTCTTTCTGCTGTCTGTAGTCTATTTTGATCAATAAGTGATTTTTGACTGTGTGAGAGGAGACAGGAAACATATTTTGATCTGCTATCTTATATACTTTTTAATCACAAGAGGCTGTTTATTATAATTTCAAATTTAAAGCTTTTAGAAAGCTATAATTTTCGTTAACAACTGCTAAATAAATGATGAGGAAATATAAAATTTGTATTTCTTATATTATTATGTGAATCATTTTATTTTATTCAGTGATATTTGATTTAATAATAAAAAATCATATTACCAATTTTACCAGCATGATTTCAAAAATTTATGCAAGAAAATCAGATTACTTTTAGATAAACAATAATTAAAATGAAAGTAAATGGTTAATTTTTTTATTAGTCTCTGAATTCATTTCTGAAATTCAGAAAGTGTGTTAATTCTACTGATATCGTTAATATGGGAAGTCCATTAGGCCAAACAAATTGCCGCCTATGGTGTTAACTCAGACACAATTAAAGCAATAAAAAGCTTAAAAAAGATAATTAAAGCAATAAAAGCTCGAAAATCTATAATGATATAATAATTAATGCAATTAAAGCTGTAAAAAGATATAAAAGATATAGCAATCTGTCTGCCTAAAAAAAAAAAAAAAAAAAAAAAAAAAACACGGAACAGGAAGGGAAATATCGCTAAATACTAGAATCATCATAAACGCTGCATGTGTGCAGCCAAAACCTATTTTTAAAATTGTCTAATTTGTAGCCTTTTGGTTCACCAAGTGTAAAATAGGACATTGAAGGGGTACTAGAAAGTTTCACAAAAGATAACACTGAGGAAAAGAACAAGATTTTATTCTTTGAAAAACAACTGAAGTTTGCATAGCGTACTGTGGAGAAGAAGAGAATAAGAAAATAAAGGTTGTGGCATTGTTTTGTATCATACTGAAAGGTATCGGCTAAAATTCAAAGCATCCAATAAATATACATAATTTCAAGTTCATATTATCAAGTTTTTAAGCATTAATTCTTTTATACACTAAAAGTAATTTCATGATTATTTTAGGATAATCCTGCTGATTTTTCATATTTCTTTGATACTTCAAGACGAAGAACATGCTATGTAGCTCCTGAAAGATTTATTAAAACCATGAGTTCATCCAATGTCTTTTCAAGTGCAGTAACTGTTTCTTCTTCAACCAGCAGTTCAATTGCTCCAGCCTCACCATCTTTAATAATTCATGCTGATGAAATTAAAACTGGTGACCTCACAGCTGCCATGGACATATTTTCTCTAGGGTAATTATGTATGATTTTCTTATTTAAGTGTCAGGAAGAAAAGAGTTAAAAAAATTATTAGTTATTTAAATGCCTTTTTGCTTTTTCATTAGGTGTGCTCTGACGGAACTGTTTACAGAAGGTTCTGCTCCATTTGATTTCTCGCAGTTATTAAGGTACAGAATAGGAGATTTTGATCCTAGTAAAACATTAGAAAAAATTGAGGATTCAAGTATTAAGGTAAGTAACTATGATGAGATGTAATATTGTTCTTTCAGGTATATTAAAATAATAACTTAATTTTATTTTGTACTTTTATTAAAATCTTTCCTTTGGGAATTTTTATTTTAAATTTTTGCCACATCTTTTTTTCTCATTTTATGAGCTTTATAATAATACCTTAAATATTTGTTATATTCTGCTTTTTTTAAACTAAAGGAATTAAAGAGTGCAGGTAATTTTTTGTAGATGATTGCTCTTCATGCAGTGCTAGAGAACTGTTAATCATGTGATTGAATTAACGAGGTAAAAATTAAAAAAAATTGTCTAATATATATATATATGGTATACAATTCCTGTTGTTTCATCCTCTTTACATATTTGTATGCTTTGCTATCATAAAATATGCACATTTCTAAAAAGAGGAATTTAGGTTATTACGGATATCTAAGTAATGATTTTGTATGCATATAAAATAAATTGATCAGGCATGTCAGTCTGTGTGCAAGACTGTGTCTTATTTCAGGGCAGTGTCCTGTTTCAGGATATGTCTTTCATTCTGCAAATATTTTCAGTTTTCTCTAGAAAATTCTCTAGATGCAAGTTTAGAATAAACCTGCATTCTCTAGATGTAAGTTTTCTTGTGCAAAGTTCTGCACAAGAAAAGATTGGTGTATGAAGAATTTCTGTTGTGGTTACCAAGTTTTAAATACTGTATTTTGAATATAATGTATGAAGAAAATGCTCACAGGTATTTAATCCAAAGCGTATCAGTACTTATTAAACTGTTACTAGAGTAGATATTGGAAGTTATTTTTCCTTGCTAGTAAATTTAACCAAACATCTGTAACTGTGCAGGATAGTTCTGTATTTCAGTGCATCATCCTGTTTCAAGCTTTATCCCAGAAAGTGTTCTGCATTCTATAAATATAGTCGATTTGAATTTTGATTGTGATGCTTGAAGATATTTTCATCACTGCTCTTTAAATATATATTTTAGACAACTTGCAAGTTTTGTGAAAGAATCTCTGGATTTCTATTCTAGCCATTTTTCATATCTGGAAAACGGAAAGCTAATTTAAATCATCTAAGAAATTGTAAATCAATTAACTTTTGAAAATACTGTAGAATGTAAACATATGGAGGAAAATTAACTCTCAAAGAAAATATTCTGACAAGGGATAGTTATCCAATAACAACCTATTCAATGAAATATTCTATTTAAGCGTATAGTTGACCGTGAAGCAATGTTTAGCTGATCGTGAGAAAAACAGGAGTCTGAGGTTGATGCTGCAATGTTTTAAAGTTTGTCCTTGTGCTTTGTTAATTTTACAACTATAAGCTAATTTGATTGAAAATCACAGTCTTTTAAATTGGAATGGCAGTTCAGTAGATATCAGTGGTAATCTGGGGATAAATACTGAGTGTCCTTTGCCCTTTCCAGTTGTAAGTTCGGCTTTGATAATGTTATTAGATAGCTGTTTGATGACCATCCTTGTTCCTTTACATAGTTTTGGTGAGTTGAGATTTCTGAGTAGTATCATCTGAGATCCAATTTTCAGTCGAAGGCAGGGTAGTGACATTCCTGGTACTTATAAAGAGTTAAAAATTCTGTAGGGAAGTTAGCACTCTCTTCAACATTTACCATTGTGTCAATTGATTTATATATTTTCTCTTCACCAGGACTTTTCATTTGAATATTAAAGTTAATATCGTCGAGAATATTTTTAGTTGCCAAAATTGCCCTTTGAAATAGCCGCTCTGGATTAGTATAGCTGTAAACAATGTTTGGATAAATTTGGTTGATGAGTTCATTTTCAGTTGTGCTATGTTGCAGGAATCACTGTTGAGTTCAATGAGGCTGATCGTCTGGTCAGTAAGATATGGGCCTTTTTTTATTTGTAAATGTTTTTCAGCAAAACATACTGTTGTTTCATCTTTTGATAGTTCAACTCTCATGTTTTTTGTTAGTCCCAGTATTTGTATGTGTGGCCAGAGATGTGATTTTTTTAGGCAGGCATTGATTTCATTTGCTGGTGTTGACTCGGGGATAACTGGAAGTCTCTGTCAAAAATCTCCTGAGAGCATGAGTAGAGCTCCTCCCATCACTTCAGAGTTTCCTCGCAAGTCTTGTAATGTTCTATCCATGGCTTTGAGTGAGTTTTTATATGCCATTGTGCATTTGTCGCAGAATATATCTTTAACTTGTTTTAGAAGTTCATCCCGTTCAGATGCTCTTGAGATTTTACATAATGGGAATTGTTCTTCGGTTATATTGAACGGTAGTTGAAGGGTGAAATGAAAGGTTTGACCTCCTTCCATGAGTGTGGCAGTAATGCCAGATGAAAAGATGCTGTTGTAAATTTTTTTTTTATTGTCATTGAAGAGTGGTTTGTTGTGAGGCATGTATTGAAGTAGTCTGTTAATGTTGTATTTTCCTTTGTAATTTCAAAGTTTAGCACACTGAAAGCATCTTTTCATGGTGCTGGCATCCAAAGTTGTAGTAAGGTCTCTTTTTTTTTTTTTTTTTGTTAAACATCTTCTAGGTGAATGAGTGTTTCATTGAAGATGTCGTCATTGAATTCGACAACCAAATCTTGATGAGCTTGTCATATCCAGTAGTCCTAAGTGTTGGCATGCTTCTCTGTATGTCTGGTAACCGTCAACAACCTTGAGATTTGTGAAACTTGTTGGTCCCCATATTTCATGTAGTAACATCCGGAGATAGAAGCGTTAGGCATTGTTCAGATGTACTCTGTATACTCGGCCTAGTACATTAGCTTTCATGACATTCTATAAAATATAAATCAAATCAACCTTTTATTAAAAATACACTAAGTACACTTTCACACTTTATTTTCGATTTATATTCAGTTACTGTATAACTTTGCTCACTCATAAGTGCTTGTTTTTATTCACTTACTGCACTTCACTGATAAGAAACTGATGTTTGAACCCATGACAGATCTTGCTTTAAGACCCCTATTGATTGGGCGAGGAGGTCCAATTCCTTGGCCACCCAGATCACCTGATATAACGTCGCTGGAATTTTTCCTTTGGTTATTTGTAAAGGACAACATTTACAGGAGGAGAGTGTCAAATATTGATGACCTAAAAGCCAGAATTACAACCGCAATAGCCTCTGTGGATGCTGACATGCTTGCTGGTACCTAGCGTGAAATTGAATATCAACTTGAAATTTGCCGTGCGACGAAGGGGGCACACGTGAAAGTTCATTGACAAGGGTCATGAAACTTTCCGAGTCTATCTAACCATTGATGTTATTAATTTTAATCTATCTTTATTATTTTATGAGTTATTAAACATCAAAATGGGTTCGGGACTTTATATGCCATTGTGCATTTGTCAAAAATAAACACCCTGCATATCGATTATTATTTCTTTATTTTTTTCCTACAATGAAGTACTTGCAAATAAGTTAGTAATAATGATGTTTGGCTTTGCTCTTTTGAGATCATTACATCTTTGCTTTCAAATATGCACAAAAACTTTCTATTTATTCTCTAACACGCAAAATATGAAGCAGTATATTGTTCTGATTGATTAAAGGATTTTTATGAGATCATCATACCTTTACTGCCAGATGTTTCAGTGCATCTAAACTTATTTCAGTTTTATCTAATACAACAATTTGATTTTATACAATATTTTCAATATATTTATTATTTATACATAAATATTTTAAAAATATCATATAAAATTGCCTTCTGGCTGAGCTTATAAGTTATATACTGTGTTTTGTATTTAAAATTAGGACTCAAAATATCCATCTCATTGTGTATCTCATAAGTAAATACTTTGAACATTTCATTTTTGTGCATGATTTTTGCATAACATAGTATAAAACTGATTTTTTATCATTAATATTAAATAAAAACTAATGTTATGCTTCTGTTAATAATAACATTTCTGCCTTCATTTACTTTTATCATTATATAGAAACTTGTCGAGAGCATGATGCAAAAAGAACCTACAGCTCGGTTAAGTGCAAGTGAATATCTGGAACTGCAGCGGGACAAGGCTTTTCCTGAGTATTTTTATAGCTTTTTAAACAACTATATGAAAGATTTTGCTTCTATTCCAAGATCCCCAGATGAGAAAATTTACAGGTAGAAACTTCCATTTTTTCTTAAAATTAGATTAACATGCTATTTATAATGCGTATAGAAAGAGAGTGAGTCAGTCTTTGTCATATCAGTGGTTTTGAACACACTGGTCTGGTATAAATGTATTAAAATTGATGGATCTAAAGTAACATATAGTATGATCAAACCTTGCTGAAAAGCATTGTACCATCTGGTTGAATTATAATTCAAACTTATTTGATTTTGAACATTTTGAGTACTGTTATCAAGCACAAACTAAAATCACCATTTAATAGTTACACATTTGTATAATTGGGAAAGGTTGGAATGTTACAGCTATAGAAAATATACAGTAGAAAAATCTCTTAATAAATATGGCTGAAAGAATTAAAATAAAATAAATTCCAATTTACAAGTAGATAATCTGAAACAAAAATAGAATTTGAATAAACAGGCGGAATACTAATAAGTAACATTTAAATTTTAGTATAAGAAAGTAAAATGTAAGTAAAAAAATTGGCTTAAGGTTTTATCTTACTTCATGATTCTAAAAATTTACAATTCTTAATGCTTGCAGTATTTTCATTTTACTCGCATTAAAAATTAAATTAGTGAGCAGTATTAATAAATTAACTTCATAACAATTTAATCTTTGTTTCTGTTGGAAATAGAATTTAAGTCAAGAGCATGTGATGAGAAAAGTGAGATGGAATTTCTTTTGCTTAGGGTAGCTATCAAAGTGTAAACATTCAAATAAAACCTTTGTTCTAGTGCATAAGAGAAATACTCCATTATTTAAAAAAAAGGGCGGGTGAAGAATGAAAAAAGAAAGGAATGCTCTTGGTTAAATAAAATGCTCACTTTTTTTTCACTCTGTATGTATATGTAGTTTAGAGGTTCACAGTCATGGTACATTTCACTTTTTATCATGATATTTTTAGTTATGGTTAAAATGGTCACAGATGTGATGAACAATGCAGACAGCATAATAGATGTTGTGAACTCTTAGAAAAAAACCATAAAATCCTTGGATAAGCACACTATATCTTTATTACTTCATGATTACACTGTTCAAACATCATACTGAGCATCATAATTTCTGCATAATAATAACATAACATTTTGGGGGAGACAATCTACTCCCCAAAATTTCTAAATACACACTCACATTTTTCTAAACAACAGAGAAAGAAGGTGAAGTATTCTTACGGTTTAACCAAGCAACATCAGGAGAGGAAAAACTAATGTGTACTAACTGCAGTCATATTGTAGCCGTAAAGTCTGTTACTTCTGAGCAGTGACTGGGCTAAAGATTTCGCAGTGCAGGGAAAGAGTGCCATAACTTGCTGTTGAGTTATGAAAAATGATACAAAGTATATTGCTAAAGGGAAGATATGTTTAATTTAAATTTATGAATTTAAGTTGTTTCATAAATTTAAATTTATGAATTTAAGTTGGTTCCAGTTAAGTTTTTCATAAATTTAAATTTATGAATTTAAGTTGGTTCCAGTTAAGTTTAATAATTTTGTCCCATATTTTATGTTTTACCTACACAAACACATACACATATATGTATAAGTAATGCAAAATAAAATACGATAAAAATATGTTTAAATTCATCCCATATTCAATCCAGAATAAATCATATGCAAAAAACAGAAGCAAAAAATAGAAGCACAGTGGCAAACTGCAAGAATCAATGATCTGTGATGTTCTCGAACATCTTCATCTTCCTTTTTAGTTTTATTAAGCTTAATTTAGGATAATTAAGTCATTTAGGATAGATATCTTGTTTTTCAATTTCATTGTAATTATTAAAGACAGTGATGTCATCAGTGCACTTGTAGGTAAATTTAAAAAGTCCTGGTTTATAGTAATTGTTAATAAAATGATATTCCTTAACAAAAAGAAAAAAAAAAAATTCAGCTGGCAGTAGAATAGTTGGTTCTCATACGAACTTAATTTGTAGAAAAATTTCATTTTTATATTTAATAAGAAATTGTGTAGAGTCCCATTTATTGAAATTCATTTAAGTTTTTAATACTGAGAAACAGGTGATGGAGCTCAATTAAACTATTAAAGATTTCATTAAGTGACAATGTGGTGTAAAATTTCTCAAAATCGTTGTAGTTAATATTGTAAATTTGTTGTTTGATAATAGCTGACAATCCAGTTATGTATTTCAACATTAGTTTGCTTCTAGATCCCAATACAAACTTTTTCTTAGAACTTTAAGAAAATTAATATTGATTCCTTTTTTGTAATTGTTTCCTTCATTAGCAATAAATCTGAATTTGATTTGGTTTTTATGAAATTTTTGTAATCTCTGGTTAGTGCATACTAACCAGAGAATTTAGTATAATGTAGTTTACTGGTAGTGAAATGCTTTAAATTTTCTAATGAGTGTTCTTGACTTCTAAAGATCTGGTAACTAATCTTATTAAGTTCAATGCTATTATAATATTTTGACAGAACTTTTGATAATTAATGCAAAAACTTGTTGTTAGCTTTGTCAACGGTAGTAATTAAATTGGGTTTTAAGTTCTTCATTATTTTTCCTAAGTTCCTTTTAGTTAAAATTCATGTACTTTATATTATTGAATTGAAGTTTATTGATATTATTTTTAATACCATTGTAAACAAGATATTCCCATTCTTAAAAGAGTTCAGTGGATACCTTTATTTGTAGCTGGTGGCAATAATAGATTGGTTAAGGTTGTGTTTAATCATTTTAAGACAAATATTTTTACTCTGATTGTAGTTATTTCTGAATTTAATGCTGAATTTCATTAATTAAGTTGTTGGTTTTTAATGATATTAATATCTCATGTAAATAATGTGCTTGTGATTCTGTCAATGTAGTTCTCAAAACTTGATTTATCGCAGAAGCAAGATGGATCAATTACTGGTTCACTGTTATGGTTGGTAATACTACTACTTAATTTTTGTATTTGAAGCTGGTTTTAATGGTAGAGTGAGTAATTGAGAAAAGGTTTTGGTATTTTTTGAGTAATCTATTAAATTCAATAAAATCAAAGTTCTGATGGAGAAAATCGTTTTTACAGTATTTTATATAATGTTTTATGTTTAGATATTCTGTATTTAATGAGATCTTTAGCCAGGTCAATGCAAATTTCACAGTCGGAGGAGCTGCTATTTAAAAAAATTATCAAGTAATATTTTTTGTTTTAAAATATGAAGATTGTTTTTAAATTTCATTAATTGAGTTATTGCTTTTGAATTTATTAGTAATTTTATTAAATAAGTCAGAAGATGGCATAAAGGTGCCTCCCCACAAGTTAACGTTTAGTCAATATGGATAAATTGTTTTGAATTTCAGCATATAGCAAGTTTCTTGATTAAGTCTTTCTTTACTGTTGGGAATAATTTCAAAGATTTAAATTTTAATATTATTAAAATTATGCTTTTTAAAATATTCCAGTTCAGCACTGTAATATGCATATATGGGATGAATTTTAAACATATTTTGTTTTATTTTGCATTATTACCACCACTTGTTGCTGCTATTAGCATGCAATTAGATTAGGTATTGAACTGAATTAGGTATTTTGAAAAGGCTATGTTTTTAAAAGTATTATGGGTACAGATATGAAAAATATATGAAAAGAACCATAAAACTGCCCAAGTTTTTTTCACTATTTAATGAAGTTTCCCAGATAAGTGAAATGTTGCTTCACTGCTGAATATCATCATGGTGGCAAAATCTTCATCTTAGTCAACGGGCATAATAAAAAATCTAGTAGACTAATAGTAGTAGCTTTGATTGTTGCAGGAGCTACACATGGTACTGTTTGAAATATAACCATTGACACAAAATCTTCCACACAGTTTTTTATGGTATTTTGAACATCTGGTCAATTGACAGATGGACAGCAGTGCTACAAAATATATGGAATGACCTTGATTATCGTCTGGCGTGTGTCGTGTCACCAAAGGGGCACATACCGAATATTTGTAGAGGGTGTATAAATTTGGTGATTTTGTTGTTCTTTTCATATATCTTTTGTGTGTGTATATAAAATACTTTTGAAAATATAACCTTTTCAAAACAAATGAATCATTTATGCTAACCAGTATATATATATACTGTAAAGGCCCTTATTTTTGCGAGGCTTTAATTTTTGTGATTTTCACGAGCCCATCGTAATTGCGAAAATTTAAGTCTCGCGAAATACCTTTTTTTTCAACTTTCTCAACTTTACTTAGGTACTTTTGAAATTTTCCAACTTTTGTTTCTGTTCATATAAAATTCGTGAAATTTTCAGCTTGCGAAATCACCGATATATTCATTTTCGCAAAAATTACAGCCCCCGAAAATAAGGGCCTTTACAGTATATAAATTTTGATATATATACACTCATGTCCATAAATTAAGGATAATGCAAAATCAGGCAAAGGAAGGGTTAGAAGCAAACCAAATTTGACTTATTTGTAAAGCTTATTTATTAAACAAAAGGTAAAGAGCAAAAAAGTGCTATATGTTGTATTATTAAAAAAATTAGCGATTTTTTGCCTGGAGCAAATTACAAAAAAAAAAAAAAAAAAACCTATTTACAAAAACCCATATTACTGGTTGGTATGATTGTAATACATTGTATGTCTCCCAGACGATGCATACAGTCCGTATAATGCCTAGGCATGCTGAGTATCAAATTATCAATCTGATGGGGGATATTACACCCTCAAAAGCAATGCTCTCCGAAGTTCCGGTAGACATGTAGGGGGAGGTTGACTGCTGCAATTTGTCAGTCGCATATCCCACACGTGCTCTACTGGATTCATGTTCGGTGAGAAGCTGGCCAGTCCACAGGTTGATCCTCCGATTGAAGCATCGCTTACCACGGTCAGGCCGGCCGTTGTATCCATAAACTCAATTGTGCGCAAATGGCGCCCTGAAAGAACGTTGATTTTCGAGAATGACGTCCCGATAGATTTGGCTAGTCATGGTTCCAATTGAACATGCAGGTCAGTTGGAACCAGAATAATTCCAACCAAACGATCACTCCGCCCACCGAAGGTATCATGATATTTTCTTGGTGGGATACCTGGAGCTCTCCATATGAAAGTCCGGCGAGAATCAGACTGCAAGCTAAAAGGACTCGTCGGAAACATCACACAAGCCACTGTTGCGGTGTCCACACCCTCCCATGCCCCCTCCTCGTTCCCCTTCCTAACCCAACAGCAGGCTCTCCTTTCCAGTGCAGTCCCCTTGCGGAGTGGAACGCATCACTGACAGGTCTACTAGCATATAGACGAAGCTGCCCTAAGCGCTGAACAACTTTCTGCTTGACTTAATTGTTTCGTACCAGTTTGGTACTGAGATCTGAATTTTTGTCTGGCTAACAGCAGCTTTGGAATCCGCATATAGACGAATATTTTTTGCCTTGCGTACCAGTGGCTAACTGATAGCTCTGAAAATGGTCCTCGTTCGGCTTGTAACTCTGGGGCGACCGCGCTGTAAAGTCTGCTCACACTACCATCATCTTGGATCGTTGCCAAGCTGGAGATGACATGCGGGCAATTCCAAGTTCGGATACTATGGCTACGCCCCCATTCCAGACGGCCAATAATTCTACCAGTAAAAAATATCCAAAGCGTCCTTGGTCAAACTATTCGGTTATTGCACTGAAATGCTTATAAAGCAACCTAAACATTTTACTTCCTTGCCTGTATCCTTATATATCACTCTCTTACCTCTCGTCATGGCGTACCATCGGTGTCATCTGGTTACTTTCTGAAATTTGCATTGATTCTTGAAGATGTTGTAGGATTTTTGGGATATATTTATTTAGAGTTCGATTTCAGCGACTCGAATTATCCTTAATTTATGGACATGAGTGTATATTTGGTATTAAGTGACTACATTTTAATCTAAAATAATGTATTTTTCTATTGATTTATAATATCTGTTGTGTATATATTATTAATTTGTACAGATTTTGATAGTTTTTTTATTGTTTTTACAATGCTGTGAGAGTGTCGAGGAATTTTTTCTAAAATGATTATCTTGTTTTACTAGTTTAATTCTGTTTTTAACCTTAAATTACGAATTTCTTACTAATTTTTATTTTAGTTTTTGCTTGTGGCAAATCTTTTGGCTCAAGCAGACTAATATCTTTCTGATTTTTAAGTTTTATTCATAGCTTATGATTTAACTCTAGCAAAATTACTAATTTGATCCTTGCTTGGGAAAAAGATGAAACACTCTCACTTAATTTGGTTATTGTTAATTGACAGTAGCTTGGTTTATTCCCCTTGACAAGTCAATGACAATAGCTACCTTTTCAGTACTTCACATTTTACTTTTTAATTTTATTATTTAGAATTTTTACAGCTCTACTGTCAATGACAATAGCTACCTTTTCAGTACTTCACATTTTACTTTTTAATTTTATTATTTAGAATTTTTACAGCTCAAAATAATATTTTTATACAGTTTTTAAAATATTTTTCCCTTAATTGATATCTAAATAAATTATACCTAAAACACTGACTTAAATTTATTCCTATATTCATCACTTAATTAAATTCTTTTTCTTGGAGATGATATAGAAAAGCTTGTAATATAATAATAATAATAATCAAAAAATTGTTGGAAAAGTTATTTTTTTCATTCGCTTAACCCATTTCAATTTCATCAGAAATAAAGTGGTGAAATTAATTATTTTGGGAGCCCTAAAAAAAATAGTTTTTAGTTTTAGATTACTTAAACAAAGAAAATTTTTATTTGCTCAAAGTTTAATGTATAATCTACTGTTAGTCAACTAAAATTTAAATATAATTTTATTTATGTAAAAATAAAATTGGCCATTTAAATTTTTAAGTCATAGAATAAATTTTTAATAATTAATTGAAAAAGATCTTAAAATATAAGATCATATATTCGTGTGTTGATATTACAGTGGAACCTCTAGATACGAGCACATCGAGGTACGAGGAACGTATGAGTGAAAAATTAATCTCTAAATATGAGCATTGACTCGAGTTACGAGTCAATGCTCGTATTTAAAGATTAATACGAGCAAGGAGCCAAGTTGTGGGTTTGAGTGTCGTGTTTCCCGATCTGGCTCGACATGAAGAATCTTGTTAGATCACTCAGTGTTCTTTGATCTACGTGTTTATGTGTTTGTGAGTTCTTTTTTACATTTAGTGGGAAAATAATTATTTCATCTCCCAAGAAGATTGTTGCCTCAGATAGTGCTGAAAGAAAAAGAAGGAAGCTATGGCTATTGAAATTAAGAAAGAAATCATAGATAAACACAAGCGTTGTGTAAGAGTGATAGAATTGATAAAGACTCACGGTCGTTTGACATTGACAATCTGCACTATTCTGAAGAAGCAGTAAGAAATTAAGAAACTTGATATAGCTAAATGAGTTACTGTTATTTCCAAGCACCTTTGCAAACATCTAGAAGCTGTTGTTGTTGTGAATTAACGAAAAGCAGTTAAAAAGTGATTCAGTCTTGGAAGCTATCATTTGTGCTAAGGCTAAGAATCTGTACTTGGACCTTCTCCAAAAAACACTAGATGCGTCGACTGAAGATGAGATGGCAATAAGATTCTTGGTGGTGTAGAATGGATTAACTGGATTTCCACTAGTTTTGATGGGGAAGTATGTTTCTAGATATGAGAAGTTCACCATACGAGCTCAGTGCTGGAACCAATTAAACTTGTATCTCAAGGTTCCACTGTGTTAAGGAATTTAATGAGGAGTATTATGTAAGAAGATTGAACTCTTTTCCATTGTTGTATTGTAATTTTCAAAGGAAATTACAATTTTAACAAGTTTTATTTCCCCAATTAATTTTGAGATTATAGTTATTTAATAGCTCATTAAATTAATTCTTATTTTATTGTGCACGAACTGATTGTTTTATTAAAATAATCTATTTTGAAGTTTCAGTTTTCTAACATAATCTATAATTTAGAAAAATGTTAAATATTAATTTTATCTCTTTGCAGACTAAAAAAGGATATTAACAACATAATTGAAGTCATCATTTCCTATGAGAAGCATATCAGTGTTAATGAATCAAGTAATAACAAGGAAAATGTTACAAGTGAAGGGCTGGTCCTAATTGTGTCACTATTAACATCATTGCTTCGAGCACTTAAACATTGTTCAGCCAAATTGAATGCTCTGGAGGTATTAAGGACAATGGCTAATTATTTAAGCCCTGATATTATTTTAGACAGATTGCTCCCATATCTGGTAAGATTTTTAGTATTTTCTTTTATAAGCATGTTGCAGCATATCTATGTTATAGTGATTATGTTTCTTTTGAAATAATGTAATTTGCTCTAAATTAAATTGTATTTCCCCCTAAATAATGTTAACCGTATAATATGCCATATAATATAGCCCATATAAATCTGAGTACATTAATTACTGTAGTATTAAAGAGCATAAGAAATTAATTAAAATTTTTTAATAAAAATTTTAGCATGTGACTGGATTGCGTTTAGTCAAATTTTTCTGAATTTGAAGAAAATGATCCAGAGATATTTTTAGCTATATTGTGTTTTTAAAAATTTAATATGTAAGTCATTTTATTATTGAAAGTGATTTATTTTTTTAATGGTCTCAAATATTTTCTAATTTTAAACTCTCAAACTTATCTATAATGTTTTATATGAACTAATATAACATTTTCATTATAAACCTTTGCTTTTTCTCAAACTTGTTTTATTTAAAATTAAAAATTTGCATGTAAATATCTGAAGTTCAATTACAATTTTTACTCCAGAAGTAGTACAGTACAAAGTCCGTAATCCGGACGTACATTAACCGGAATAATCTATAATCCAGACCTCAAAGCCACAAACATGCGTGTTTAATGTATAACGGACGGTATAAGCTAGGCTAAAATTATCTTTACTGATTCTAAGGCATTTCAGTTAATGTTGCAGATTGCGCTGCTCCTTAATCTTCTAGTTGGATCCGGCATATTATTTTTTGCAGACTGTTAGAGCAATTTTATAAAAATTAAGCTTGAACTTTTGATTATGTCAAAAAGAGTTTCCAATTCTGGAGCTGCCAAGGGATCTACAAAGCGAAAGCATGTTTCGGACAGAGAAGTTATTGAAAATGAAAAAATTTTGATTGACAAGTTAGTCGGTATTCTCGACACAGCAATTACAGGACTTGAACAGTGGAACTTTGTAACTGAACAAGAAATGATGTCTGTTTATAGAATTAAAGAGAAAGTATTAGCACAAAAAAATGAAGCAACTTAAACGACTTACATTGAAAGAAATGTTTAATAAAGTAAACAAATAAATATTAAGCTTTTTTTTTTTTTCTCTGTAAATTTTGATACCCTTTAGATCATAATTGCTCTTTATTTCATAAATTATGGTTTCATATTTTTAATTGTATAATTTCTGCGTGCCATCTTACCAGATTTAAATTGATGATCTATAATCCGGAATCGCCGAAGTTCTGATGGGTCCAGATTATGGACTTTGTACTGTACATTTTATGGAAAAAAAATTTGCATTTTATGACTTTTATTTACTTAATAACGTAGCAGATAAATTAAGTGACACAGGAAAATTCTGCATATTTAAAACAGATATCATTTAAAGTTGAACCTTTTTTTGGAACTTTAAAAACACAGTTAATTTGATTTTGTTGCAAAATTTTTCCTTTAAGAATTTTGAATGAAATACAATTCATATTTTTAGAATCAGTAGCAATGTTTTCTAAGTATAAAATTTATTATATGACGATTTTCTCATAAAGTGAATGTCATCTAAAAAGCTTAAATTTGTAAAGAGTTAATAAAAGATTTTTGAAAATCAGTTTTTTAATTTGCCTGGTCTATAGATTTTTTTTTAATTGAGTTGCTTGGTGCTGATCTAGTTTTTGATTTCAGATATTTTTAGCAAAAGATAAATATCCCAAAGTGCGTGTTGCTGTAATTCAGACACTTACAGAATGTTTGACTTTGATAAAAAGCATACCTAAGAGGTAATTTTGGAAAATAGGTGCTTGTGCATTATATATATTATGAATTTTTCTTGAATATGTGCTTTTTATACGAACTGACATATCCTTTTTTTAATGTTTGAACACAAATATTATTTTATCTTTATTAGTGACAGCAATATATTTCCAGAATACATTCTTCCAAATTTGGTAAGTATTCATTTATGCATTTGTTTTCCTGTTTTGCATTTTTACAAAATAGGTTTTTTAAGCTGTTTAATTTTATGACATGTCGATTGTTTTGTTCATTAATATATGCCTATTTTTATAGTAGAGCAGAATTTTGTCTTTTAAAATGTATAATTTAATTCATTTCAGTCACAAGTAATTTGATTTCCTAAATTATTTCATTAAGTTTATAAATATATGTAATTTTAAGAAATGTATCAGACTTGGTCTGTGTAATCTTAAATACTATGTTTAAATTATATAAATATATTTCAATATATGTTTTATCCTTATGGAATATTGATCTGTTTAATTTTTTAATTATTGCTTGCATTTTTCTGCAGTCACATATTCCACATGATGAGGCTGTAATTGTACGCATGGCATACGCTGAAAATATTGCTGTTTTAGCCGAAACTGCATTAAGGTTTGGTATTAAAACTTTATAAGCTTGCTTCTTATTTTACTAACAGTTAGTATTTTTTTGTCTTTTAAGAATTTAAAGAAGGAAGTAAAAGCAAATGATTAAAACAATTAAATATTATATGAGCTTGTCACAATATCATATATATATATATATTAAATATTGTATGAGCATGTTACAATATCATATTATATATATATATATATATATAAACATTATATGATATTGTGTTATCACTTGTTTTAATGTTTTATTCTGTAACAGATTGTTAGGTGATGTGGCTTGAGAACTAATCTCTTGTGTTTGAAATCAGTTGTTTAAGTATTTTGATTCACTGTTCTGAATATTTCAGATTATCATAAATTAATTAGAATAAATTAAAATTGTTTCTAAAGTGAATGAAGAGTTATTGCTAAACAATTGTAAAATATTGTTGCAAAACCTCATTTGTTAGACAGTTTTGAGGTTTAAAATTTATCTTTAGAGTTTGTCTTTTCTGTTTGTTGGTTCATGGTATTCTAAATGTTTAATATAAATATTTATTACTTTTTAATTACTTTTTATTATAATATCGTTCATTTATTTTGGGATAATATTAATTTGAAATTTATAGGTTTCTAGAAATGACACAGTCAGATATGGAGCCCAATCTAGACAGTTCATTCTTATCAGATGATGAAAGGAATAACCATAGTAAAGTAAGTTTTATATTCTATAATTTGAGCAGTAACTCGTTTTCTACTTTTAGGTTTTTTTAAATATTTTTTTATGTGTCCATTTACTGTCTTATCTTGCATTATATATTACTTTCTTTATTACAGGCACCTGAATTACTTTCAAGTTAAAAAATATATGTTTTCTCCAGATATATGACATATCCACTATTTTAAAAATGTATTGCATATCATTAATGCTTCAGTACATGCACTTCTGTTTTGAATTGTATCCAGTAAAGTTCATACTCACCTGAAAATTCAGAAGGAAAAAAAAAAAAAAAAGGTCGGGCAAAGTCAATGACAGTATAAATATTTTTCAAAAAATCAAGGAAGATCTGGGCTTTTTTTCTGAAAAATCATTAAAATTAAAAAAATACACATCAGTTCTGCTTAAATAATAAATGTTCACGTTTTAAGTAATGCCATGTATGTCAAAATTGTCCATCCTAAAAAATGTAAGCAAATGAAGAATTATTGTTATGTTTGCTTTTCATGCAGGAAGTATTTTATTTAGTTCATCTCTGAAACATTTTTATTTTCAACTTAGAACTCTTGTTTTCACCTGCTAATATGCTGTTGTTACTTTTCTGTTTAGCTCTGGGGTTTCCAGGGAGGTCAGTGTAGATCCCAAGGGGGTCGATGATGACCAAGGTATCGATAGCCAAATATGTATCAACATAATCAAGATCTTATTGATTACAAAAGTTTATTAATAAAATTGATAATTGTTTATTGCTATAAAGCTTATCATGTAGTATGGAGAAATCATAGAAAATAAATATGAGAGAAAAATACACATAAATTTTTTAAACAATAAGTGAAGTATAGAAAATAAAACTCAAGAACACTAGAAAACACCATAAAAATATGAAAAAAAAAAAAAAAGCAAAACTAATGAACCACAGCAAAATTTGTTTCCTATTTTTTTGCCCATGCCTGCTTTTGAAACTTGTTAAGAGAAATTATGCTCAAACGGTAAATACATCATCAGTATGTAAGCATACTTTTTACATTTTGCAAGAACATCACAAGCTACAAAAATCTAAGGAGTTCAATGAAGAGAACCATTCTTTTGAAAAGGGTCAATGCAAGAAAAATGTTGGGAATCCCTAGTTTTAGATGTAACTGTTCTGTCACCCCTTTCTTTTAAATGTAATTGCCTTTCAAGACTGAATAATGGAATTTAGAAGTCGCAACAGTGTATGATTGTAACACTATAATAAATAACTATGGGCCCTATCTATGGCACTTTTAATAAGGCTTCCCCCCCCAGATTTTCCAAATCACATGATGATGTTGGGACTCATTAAATTCATTATTTCAGTATTCTCATGGTCTCAGTCATTTAATGTGATCTTTAAATTTAGCAGTTAATTGTGTTAAATTTAAGGACAGTTTGGAAAGCAATAAGTAAAATAAGAACTTTCCTTTTAAAGAAACATATTTATATTTAAGGTAGAGCTAAATAGTATTCTGTAGATATTCTTATGTAATTCTATGACCTAGGCAAGTGCTCAAAGCTCAGGAAGTGTGCCTAGTTTATCAGAATATACTTTTCATAATAGAAAACTTTGCTTTTCAAGGATGTTCTTGCCTCAAATTATAGCATACTTTAGTGATGGCTTACTTCAGATGAAAAAATACATAATAATAAAACATAAATGGAGATAATTTGGATATATGTCTTTACAGTTTGATAACCTTCTGAAATTGATTTGAAAGAAAATTTTTTAAAACACCTCCTTTACATTTGTATGCATATTTTATTTTAAAAATTGCAATGGACTACTTTGACTAATAATTATGGATAATAATTCCTATGACAAGTTAGATTGCATTGGTAATTTTTCATATTTTATTTAGGTGTTTTCAATACCTGTTCATTAAGTTACAAAGATATTTCAAGATATTTTCCAGAATATTTCATAGTTTATAATACTGTCTATAATATTATACAGATACTAAAATGCTAGACAATCATATTCACCACTAAATCTAATTTCACAAATTTCTTGTATTGCGTCTCTTTCTGATGTTACACTTAGGAAACTTTTAAATTATCACGCATTTCAATTTATCACAAGATTCCCCCCATACACAATTAATCCTTTTTGCATTGAATTTCTCATGTACTTGATGGTTCAAAGTAGTGATATCCAGAGCAGGCAATTGTATGATCAAAATCAGTGAACTACTTCTTGTTTCCTGCTATATTTATATCATCAATCTTTGCACATTTATTATACTTAAATGTATTTTATTTGTGTCAAATTGAGTGTCTATTTTTAACTGAAATATATTTTCATCATAACTTTATCATTTTCTTTTCCTGATCAGACTTTGAACACTCGTTTTTAGACTTTCGACACTGACTTTTATTCAAATCATCAACAATTTGTGCAATTATTACACTCAAAATTATTTTTTATGTGAGATTGTGCACCCTTTTTTAATTAAAATGCCATATGTTTATTATTTTCTTTCTTCATTCAAACTTTAAACATTCATTTTTAGCTGATTTTTATTAAAATTATCAATCTTTTGCACATTATATATACACAAACTTTATTTAGTCCATACTACACACTTGATTATTAGACCAAATTGGCTTTAGATCCAAAAGGTTATTAGTCTCAAAATGGCATTTTGTATCATTTTACTTTCTGTGTTGGCTCATTTTTTAAGCTGTTGCCACCAAATATTATAGCCATGTATTATATTTAATTTATCACAATTAAATATAATAAGAAGAAATAAATAATGAAGAATCTGTATGAGTATTTCTTGCATTGTGAAAAAACAACAGTATATAGAGCCATCAAATTTTGAATAACATAGTCCTCCTCTCGAATATGGGCATTTGGAAGTCTAAATTTGGAATTCGTTTTATTATCTGTTTCGTATTTTTTAGAACTTTAATGAATTTTTGACTAACAAACTCAACGATTTCAAAGCAAGCAATAGCAACACTGTACGGGAAAAAAAAAATGTTTTTATCTCCAGCACATGGGCTGTATATTAGAAATTCTAAAGATATTCTGTTTTGCTTTTTTTTTATATATTTTGTGATATTGCTATTGAATTTGAATTTTATGTGCTTTAAGTGTGAAGAACATGATATTTAATAAATAAAAGTAACACACAAAATGTTAAAAAAAAACCTGCCCTTTTTGTTGTAATATAAAATTTAAAAGCTTTCAGATTTTTCTTTTTTTTTAATCGAGTTACTTTTAAACTTAAATTGAGATATGTTAATTTTTTATCATTTTATGATATTATTTCACTTTTCAATCATCCTTAATCACATGTTGCTTAGAGTTGTTTTATCTGAGATTTTGATTATACAGTACCTGCCACTCAATGGTTAATAAACTCAGCTGCTTATTACCTTCAAATTTCTGAGAATCAAAACAAATATATACTAATCAATAGAAAAACTGTCATTTATTAAACTCAGGTTGTCCAAAGACTGATTCTTCAGTACCTGGATATCCTACCTGCACCTATCAAAGCTTTTTGTAGTTCATCTATTTAACATATTATGACTGTGGCTTTATCATTCAGATATGCAGTGTTTTAATAAAATGGGTTTGACTAAAAGTTTTCTTATCCTCCATGCTTGCATGCGTAAGAGACTATTTTTAAGAGTTCTTTGTCAACAATCGATTTCAGAGGGGCAGAATTTCCATATCTTAAGGTTAACAAAATCAGTCGTATAGAGATATTCTTATTGAGTGAGGGTTCCTTCTCAAATACCAGCTGATAAGAGGTGCAAGTGCAACTTTTATATCCCATCTTTTAAAGTTTCCACATTTAAAATCATCCATTTGGGATAGATGCATCTTGTTCACAGAGAGTCATAAAAAAACTGTGAAGTGCTTCTAAGCATTATTCTACATTTAAAATCTTTGAATTGAAAAGAATAGGTGATGACTGTAGTCTGAAGAAAAAAAAGTGTTGAAAGATCAACGCTTGTAATTCTGAAGTTGGAGGTCGAATAAACATACAAAAGGCTGTCTTTCTGCTTTCTATTCAACCTTTAATTTTAGGGTATTAGAAAACTTTCAAATGCCATTAGAGAAAAGTTGTTCAATTAATGATAAAAAGAATTGAATTTTTTGAAAATGTAAGCTCTTCATATGAGATAAGTAACTGATTTATCTGCCAGAAGCTATGCATATTTATAGTCAGTATAGAGGTTCATGTCTTAAATTCAGCTAAAAAACTTTTTTTATTTTTATTTTTATTTATTTATTTATTTTTGTAATAGAAGCTGCAACTGCAGCTAATGTTTTGATGGAGGGGAGTTATGAGGATTTATTTTTAGAGTATGTGTCAATTCACGAAAATATTGAGACAATGTGTATAAAAACTGACTATGAAAGTGTTAAAAGAACTGCAGAAACTGACAGCAAAACTGATCTGGAAAAAAGTAATGGTATGCTATTCAATAACCAAATTTGGAAAAGTAATGCAAATTCTAAGAAAGATTTTTGAACTAAAAGTTGGTGATTAAAAGGCTATCAGCAGTTTTATAAAACTGAGAATATGATTGAGAAAAAGTTGTTGAACAATATGAAATAAACGCTGATAGAATACAATTGTTTGTAAGAGATAAAATTTCATTCAGAACATAGTTATAAAAATATGTTTATAAAACTTTTAAAAATTGCTTAGTTTTAGTATTAATTTTTAGTTATTATTTTAAGATTAATTAATAAATTAATTGCTGAATATTATTTTACTTGATGAGTTAAAATTGATATCAGGGTTTGCAGTACATAAACTACCATCTATTAAATTCAGCTGCTTAATTAATCCAAATATGCTTGGAACGGAAGTGATTTTAATAAGCTGCGGGTACCATACTAATTTTTATTAATGATTAGATTTTCTTTTTTGCATATAATGAACAGATAATTTTAACTCTGTAATTTCTGCTGGTATAATTTCTGTCCAGGAAAAATTTCTGTCATGCATATAATTCATTTATATAATGTAAACTTATAGAATAAATTCTATTTTATTTTGCTTTAGATTTTGAATTTTTCAATCTTAGAGTTTATGCATTAATGATGGGGTACAATCAAAAATAAATACTTGTCTGCTTTATATTACATTTGAAATATTTCCATTGTTGTTCTTCCTCTTTTAGAACAAAATTATTTAGCTGTTCTTTGCTCAGCTTTTAAAGAGCAGATTTTTCTTGAATAAAAAACATGTCTATAAGCAGATTACATTATAGGAGAGACAAGTTGAGATGTCATAATCAATGCTGTCAATTATTGTTTGGCAGACTTGTTGAAATTTGTTTTAAAAAATTGGCTTGGAAACTTTTCTGATGGATTATGTGTATATATATATAGACATAGGTATAAAAAATTTTAAATGTGTGAATTAATTTACAGGCTTCATTTGATCATGAACTGCAAGCTCTACAAGAGCTTGTGCAACAAAGTGTCACTTTACTTCTCAGTGATCCTGTAAATGCAGTGAAGCAGACATTGTTGGAAAGAGGCATTCATCAACTTTGTGTATTTTTTGGTCGTCAAAAAGGTATTTTTATATATTTATCAGTATTCTAATATTCTCTTGTAGAGGGATAGAGTGGGAATAATATTTCCATGTTTTAAATTTACTTGAATATTTAAAGTATATACTATGCATAAAGTTGGCATTTTTGATGTTTCCTGTTTGATTGATAGTTTTAGCTAATTGATAGAGGAATCTCTTTGGCTTATAATAGTTACATTTATTTAAAAAAGTTAATGTAAAACTATTATTGCAAAAAAAGTATAAACATAGATAAAGATTTTTTTAAAGTATGTAGCTGTAGTCTGAGAGTAAAAACTTATATTAGTATTTTAAAACTTAAACTTGGTATTGTAAAACTAAATGATTTAAGCATTTGTAGTAATAATTTTAAAATAAATTCAAGTGAAACAGTTTCTAGAAATTTAATTGTGTGTATTAAAGCATAAAACTTTTGAAAGTGATTCAAATTTTTAATTATTCTGCAGGCAATGATGTTTTGCTGTCTCATATGATTACATATTTGAATGATAAAGTAAGTTTTGTGACAGTTTTATAATGTTTCTGAATAATTTTGAACAATCGTAAGGTCTTATATAGTTTAAGTTAATGGATGGTACTGTAGTGAATTTATCTGATTTAAAATTAAGTCAATAAATTCAATTGATTCTAATGTACTTTATTGTTAGGAGGACAAGCATTTACGAGGAGCATTTTTTGATGCAATAGTTGGAGTTGCTGCATGTGTTGGATGGCAGTGTTGCCCTATCTTAAAACCGCTTTTACAGCAGGTATTTTCCAATTTTTTGGAAGAATTTTTTGTATGTTAATTCCTAGTGAGAAATTTTAAGACTAAAAATTCTAATTCTTAGAATTCTTGAATTTTAAATATTACCAATTTTTGGTGATAGTACTATTCTTAAAGAAATTAAACTTCTTACCTTTTATCTGAGTTGATAAATTCTATGAGGGAAAAAATAACTTGTGATTTAGCTTTTAGTTCATATTCTTATTTTATGATTTTGATTTCTCAATAAGCATACATTGAGAAATCAAAATCTGGTGGTTGAAAAGCTCAGATGATTGTGCATGGAAATATTGTAAATTATTTTCATACTATGTCTAAAATTACTCATTTATTAAAGTACTCATTTGAGTAATCTCAAAATTACTCATTTATTAAAGTACTCATTTGAGTAATCTCAAAATTACTCATTTGAGTGCTAATAATTAATACTACTTAGCATTATCATTAATGATGTAAGAGTTTAAATTGAGATATAGTACAAAGTCCAAAATCTGGAAAATCAAAGTTCAAAAAATTTCGGAATGATCTAAGCTCCAGACCTCAAAACCACCAACAACATTTTTCTGGTAGGCCAGCCTGGCAAATCTTTATTTATTATCCTTTCCTTTCATCACCACATGTTTATCAACATGACTTGAGTAATGACTCATGTAGCGATGCCTAAACAATTTTTGTATGTTAGTAACTGAAAAACAAAGGAGTATGGTAACCATTTTATGTTGACATTACGTTTGGCGATGATTACAGATTTATGTTAAATGCACTAAAAATGTTGATGAGGAAAAATTTACCAAAAATTTCTTGCCATATGCTAAAAATATACAGTCAAAAGTCTTTAATCCGGACTCGTCGGGACTTCGTCGATTCCGGATTATTGATTTTTCTGGATTATAGATCATCAGTTTAAATCTGGTAAGATGGCATGCAGAAATTATAAAATTAAAAATATGAAAACTGTAATTTATGAAATAAAGAACAATTATGATCTAAAGGGTATCAAAATTTACAAAGAAAAAAAAAGCTTAATATTTATTTATTTCTTTCAATGTAAGTTGTTTAAGTTGCTTCGTTTTATGTGATAATACTTTCTCTTTAATTCTATAAACAGACATAATTTCTTGTTCAGTTACAAAGTTCCGCTGTTCAAGTTCTATAATTGCTGTGTCGAGAATACCGACTAATTTGTAAATCGAAATCTTTTTGTTTTCAATAACCTCTGTGTCACTTTCTTCATTATCGGAAGCAAATTATAATGACGAGGAATTTGATTTAAATCATATCAAAGACGGAGTAGTACTATATTTGAACATTACGAATTGAAGTACTACATTTAGTAAGGAATTATAAGCCAAATAAAATAAAAACATCTGCCCTGAAAAATAAGGATAGTGCTGACAGATCTACTTCCAGTTCATTGCGTGCCGCAACGTTTCCCTCCCCTCCACAGAGCAGCGTGAAATTGATAAACCGATTTCGGAATGGTTAGAGAAACAAAGGATATGCTTTTATCCATTTTTTGCAGCAATTCCACTTTTTGTTCGATGGACATCGAAACATACTTTCGCTTTGTAGATCCTTTGGCAACTCCAGCATCGGAAATTCTGTTTGACATAATCGAAAGTTCAAGCTTACTTCTATAAAATTGCTCTAACAGTCTACAAAAAATAATAAACCGAATCCAATTTGAAGATTAAGGAACGCAATCTGTAACATTAACTGAAATAGATAATTAGATAATTTTAGCTTAGCTTATACCGTCTGTTATACATTAAATGCACATGCGTAAACATATTATGCACGTGCGCACACGCATATGTGCATGCGTAAAGGAATTATGCGCATGCGTGAATGCCTTTGTCAACGCATTATGTGTTGACGCATGCGCAGAAAGTTTGTAGCTTTGAGTTCCGGATTATGGGTGTCCAGATTAACGACTTTTGACTGTATTTTGTTGATTATACTCATAGACCCAAAGACTACATTTAGGGCTATATGAATTAAGAATAACTGATTTGTTATTCACATAAACCTAGAACCAGCGCCAGGGCTTGTAAGGCGGCACCAGGTCACAGAGTTTAGGACCCACAGAGACTGCATCAGGCGGTGAGATGTCTAGTGCTGGCCCTCAATAAGGCTTAAGTATATTTGGGAATTTATTTATTCAGAACTCTGAAAAGCCTTAAGCCTGTGCAGGAAATAGACATAAGTATTATAAATAACTAAACTAATACAATTCAAGCTTAATTGTCTCAGTGCGCGATAGAAGCAAGATAAAATTTAACAGAACAACTTGTCATTAGTCACCAAGCTCATGATACATAGCCAAATATGTATGGTGAATGATAGCTAAATTTGATGATGGTAGCCGTGCATTTTAAAGTTCTTTGGATATCGCAAAACAAAGGTGAAGTTTTCCAATTAATGGATTTTGTAAAGGAATGTGGAGAAGTGGTAATAAATTAAGATGATATAAAAGAAGTTTTTCATTGTGATGACAATGCTTCTCAATCATCAGTCAAAATTAATGAATGGCGAAATCTGTAGTATGGTTCTAGATCCAGAAAATACCGGTAGTGAAGAAAATGACAGAGAAGTTACTGAAAACAAAAAAATTTCGATTGACAAGTTAGTCGGAATTCTCGAAATAGCAGTTACAGGACTTCAGCAATGTAACTAAACAAGAGATTATGTCTATCTACAGAATTAAGGAGAAAGTATTAGCACAAAAAACAAAGCAATTTAAACAACTTACATTGAAAGAAATGCTTAATAAGGTAAACAAATAAATATTAAGCTCTTTTTTTTTTTTTTTTTTTTTTTTTTTTTGTAAATTTTGATATCCCTTAGATCATAAATACTTCATTATTTCATAAATCACGGTTTTATATTTTTAATTTTATAATTTCTACATGCTATCTTACTAGATTTAAACTGATGATCTAATATCCAGAAAAATCTCAAATCTGGAATCGCCAAAGTCCTGACGAGTCTAGATTTCGGACTTTGTACTGTATAACATGCGTATGGAAATGTTATGACTACAAATAGTCAGTAATGTATTTAATTTAATTTTTGTAAATGGCTTACTTACGCAAACAATATGTTCATACTGAACTTGGATACAATTAACTGTCTGTCAAAAAATTGGCAGAAAAACTTTATTTACTGACTAGTGTAATAAATTTATGTAATTGTGTGATTTCTGGCATTAAATACAAAGAATCTGTTAATTGCACTTCTTATACATTACTTTAAATTACATTAAATTTTATACTTCAGATATATTTGTAACTGCACACCATTCTTTCCTATACTTGTATATGATTAGAAATTTAGCTGACGAGACAATAGGGGTTTGGGTAGCCTCCTGTGATACCAAAGGGCCTGGATTCGAATCCTGGAGACAGCATGGTGATAACTGTCTGTCACTTCATATGAGTCAATGGTGGCCACTTATTAGGTGCTTCCACAATAAAATGGTCACCACTTCTGGCCTTAAGAGTGGCCAATGCTGAATAGGCAAGTGCTTGGCATTGTGTTTTTTTTTTTTTTTTTTTTTTTTTTTTAGTTAGAAATTTAGAGTTAGAAAATATTTTTAAGCTATTTTAGAGTTAGAAAATATTTTTAAGCTATTCTCAAATTCAATCCATGTAGAGACAAATGTGTGTTATTTGTCTTATATGAGGTATTTGTAAAAAGGCTTTATTTCTTTAATTATTGATACTAGACTTTTTTTTTTTTTTTCCCAATTCACAGTTTTGTAAAAAAAGTTATAGAATTTTAGGAAAACAGTTTCATTTTTGTGTCTAGGAAATTTTTATAAATATATATTCTACTCACAGTTTGTTATTTGGTCCCCAAAGAGGAAGAATACCAGTTAATAAAATATTTATTATACTTTAATGGTTTAAGAATAAAATGTTTAATATTCTTATGAACAAAATTCTTGGAGATATTCAAGAAAGAACTTAATGATTTATAAGTCTCTTTCTTTCGAATTTTGAGGTTTTTGAAATTGATTTTGACTAAGCATTTCATCTAGTGTATTACATCAACTAGTATTCAAGTTGTAACTGATACCTTGGGAGTTTTTTAAAGTTTTGTTTTTCAAATTTAACATGTGATGGTATGGCAATTTGCTTCTAACTCATAAGAGCTTACTGAAAGTTTACTAATTGAAATCTTTGCTTTATGGAACTCATTTAAAAAAGTTGCATTTTAAATTTTCCAAACCTCCTTTTCACAGTACTGAAGCTATTTTCATTAAAATTTTCCATCTTTTTTAACTAGAATAAATTTGGTATTAGTATTTAAGAAAATAAAGCATATGGTCATTTGCCCTTCCCTCTCCAAACATTCTGTTATATTTATAGCAGATTTCTTCAGTTTTAAATTTAGGGTACCATATTTATTTCTTCTTTGTATGTTGTGAAGCAGTGCTTCCTAAACCTTTTAGCATCACAGAGCAGTTCAATGAGAGCTTTTCATGGCCCATATTTATTGAAAAAACAGTATGTATAGAATAGTCTAGAACAGAAATATGTTTACTTATTAACAACTAATTAATAATTTATGAATAATTATAAACTTAATTTAATAACAGAACCAAAAAACTTTAAAAAAAATTTTGTCACTTACAAAAAAATTGTTTTTTGAGTCATGCTTTAAGAATTATCATTGGATCATTTAGAAATGATTTCAATTTTTCTGTATTCAGTAGCTGTAATAACCAGGAGCAGTTTTAATATTTTGTGAGAATGCATTTTAACAACTGCTACATTAATATATATTTTAAATAAAGTATATCAGAACTGTGAAATGTTTACATAAACATTTATGTTGAAGGACAAAAGATAAAAAATCAACAGTTTTGCCACATTTTACTTTCTTAGCTCTACAAAAGACAAAAGAGCTGCATAACATGCACAATATAGTCTTGGAATTTTCTGGTCCCAAGACTTCAGTAGCTGTATCACTGACACCTCTAATCTGCCTCAATAAGGTAACTCCATCATGACCATCGCTGAGCCCATTACCAAGTTCAGCTGAATGAGTAGATTTTTAACTGTATCACCAAGAAAACTGCTTATTCACCCCACATAGGAAGATGACCAGCAGCTTAGTGGTGGGCCCATTAGCCACTCCCTCCTCCATTCGGAAAACGTTGCCACCCCACCGTGCCGAGGTGGACCCTCATAAGGCATATCATTGGTTTGTAAAATTTTGTTCTGGTGATTTTTTAGTTCAAGATGCACATTGGTATTGTAGACCAACTGTGATTGATGTTGACAAATGAAATGTAATAACTGAAGCTGATCATCGCATAAGTCTGCTTGAGCATCTACATAAGCTAAGACTCTAATGGAGTTACAGATGGAGCCACTTGTACTAGCTTTCCTTCAGTTTTCATAGAAGTGTAGACTTTTAGCATGCCAGATATTTTTTTTCAGCACCTTTCACTTTTTTTTTTTTTTTTTTTTTTTTGACTTAATATGGCTTTCTTGCTACATTGTGAATATTCTTTATTACTGTGCTGCACCATCACCAAGTTTTGATACACACAGGACCAAATATGCATCTTGGTCTTTACATCAAGTGATCTGATCACCTATGTCACTCAACAATTCTTTGAGCATGAAATTAGGAAATTGCAAAGAAAACAGAAATGGTTGTTGTACAAAATAGTCAATATATTAAAGTTGTTTTATTATCTTATAAACTCTTTTATTCAATGAAGAAAATAATAGAAACTGAAGATTGTGTTGCTTGTAATAATGCATTATTAATTTTCTAGGGTCTTGCAGATTCTGAAGAGTTTGTGATAAGTAAAGCTCTGTGTGCATTGTCTGACCTAATTCAGTTAGGTATACTGCAGAAACAGATGCTGTATGATATTGTAGCTGAAGCAATACCCTTATTAATTCATCCAGTGAGTATTAAAATGCTTTTTCTTTAATTGTATTTGAAATTCTAAATTAAATTTCTTTTTTTCCTAGATTAAATTATCTAATCCAATACAGATTGAAATTTATAAGTATTAATATTTTCTTTACACATATTGTTTTTATCATACATTTGTTTGTTGTTAGCTAATTAATTATTTTAAAATCTATATTAGGCTTGCCAGAAATGTTCTGCTTAATGCACACAGTTCAAACACACAGTTAAGTCACATTAATGTGACCACTTGTTCATATTAGTGTTAGAAAGTATTCACAGGGCTGTTTAACTGTGCTGATTGCAGTTTAGTTGATAGTTACTGGAGAGTGTGTGAGAGAGTATCCATATTGTGAGTAACCTAGTCAAGGCTGTCCCTTAAATTCTTGATTAAGTCTTACTAATATTGGGGCCAAGGAAGTACAATAAAGTTTTCTCTGTGCTCTTCCAACCACTCAGTTATTCCTATGTGTTTGATATATTACATGTTCATACCAGAAGATGTCATCATTTCCAGGCAGGAATATCTACATGTATGGCTGTATGTGGTTTGCAAAAATAGAAGTATGCTTAATAAGATTCATAGTTTTAAGTAGGATCCATATTGATGAGTATAATGATGAATGAACGTGGAGGATGTCATGAAAACATTCCAGAGACTGTAACATTGACTCTGCCAACTTGTATTTGTTTCGAAATGGTTGAGAGATATTTCTTCTCTGATGTTTCTCACTGTATGCGCCAACATCCATTCTATTCTATAAAGTAAAACCACAATTCATCAGAAAAAGCAAACTTTTGCCAACTGGTGGAAGTCCACTGTTAGCGTTGCTATGTAAATTTCAGTCTCATCCACTGATGAATGGTCATTAGCATAGCTGCTGTCACCATCCATCTCTTGTGGAGCCTTATATACAGCAAGATTCACTGCAAGCAGTTTGGACACAACTGTTATAACTGTTGGGTTCATTTAAGCTCTAAGTTACTCCAGTATAGAATGTTAGTCAAACTACAATGCACTGCCACAGTTGCATCAGAAATTTAAATATGCCCATTATAGATTTTTGTCTCTCACTCCCCTCTTTTTTTGTACAATTAATATAGTTCAAGTTTTATTCAAACAAATAACAGTTAGACATTTATTGTAGTAACTTATTTTTTAGCATTTGTCTCATTTTCAAATTGCAGGCTTTGTGTGTAATGAAAACCAGTTATCTCTTTCCATAAATTACTATATTAATCATTGAAACATATGGCGATATCATATAATGTAATATTTGATTTGTGATTGTTTTCAAAGTAATTTCAATCAGTTTTTTTTTCAAAGGCTAAGATTAAAAATTTTAACTTATAAACTCAATTTCAAAATAATTAAATCTATCAGCAATAGTTAATTATATGATAAAATACTTATTTATGAATAGGTTATTTTTTTTATGATAAGAGTACTACTCAAGCAAATGCTTTGTTATTCCATTTATATTCTCTCTAGAATTTATGGATTAAACAAGCTGCTGTTGGACTTGTATGTATTGTTGCCAAAACTTTAAATTTGGCAGATGTGCAATGTAGATTGATTCCTCTTTTGCAACCTTTTTTGAAGCGTCAAGTTATTCAAGTTGATCAAGAGGTAATAATCAGTACATGAATAGTTTGCATATTTTTTCTAAATTATTTGTGTAGAATTTTGCCTGTGTTTGTGATTAAGATTCTTATTTTGTTTATCAATAATTTTAAAAATGATATAAATCTGTATTAATTGTTATTCTGAATATACAAGTGTGAGTCAAGTAATGACAAACTCCGTATAGCATCTTAATTTACAGAAATTTTTGAACAGTTCTACACATCATTTTTCCACCCTGTTTCCTTGTAAGGTAATACATTTGCATAACTCCACTAGCTTCATTCTTTCAAAAAATACATTTTTTTCTTCTTCTATAACTACCTTTGTATCATCTTAGGCAAATTTGTAAGCTTCTAGAAAGCCTATTTAACTCAACCTTTGTTATGGGCAGATCTGTAAATAATTCCTATCACCAGTTTTCTCTGATCAGTGCATATGTCCTCTGGATGAGAGTTTCTGTAGATAATGTTGATAAGTGATGATGTTGATTTCTTAGTTATACTTGTTCTTCTCGCCTGATATCATGTTGCATTTTCTTAAGCTTTTTTGTTAATTAATTTATCACTATCTTGATACTGAGTAAAAAACACATTACTCCATGTTATCTCTTGACAGTGAAATCATAAAGTGCAAATGTTAGTGCGTCTATTTCTGTTGATACTGATATCTTGGTTATACTTGTTCTGGTAATTCTGATCTCTTGTTCTTCTCAATTGACATCATGTTGCACTTTCTAAAACTTTTTTGTTAATTAATTTATCACTACCTTGATACTGAGCTAATGTATGGTGATGGATTTCTGCAGATATCGCTACCTTTGCTAAACATCAAGGGACAAAAAACAACACATCTTGCCATATTGTCTCTTGACTGTGAAATCATAAAGTGCAAATGTCAGTGTGTCTATTTCTGTTGTTGTTTCTTCATTAAAAGAGCCTACCAGTGGCCAAGTACATAAAAGTACATTCAAAGAACATAAGTAGTTTCACCCAAGTTCAAATTCTGGTTGCCATAATGAAATAATCAAATCCTGTCTTCAATGAATGATGAATTCATTAAAGAATGGAGCATATGTCTATTGTTATTATTCATGGCTGAATTAGCTATAATCCTACTGGTGTGTTACATTAGCTCCTTCCTTTTGATGTTACTTTGCAAATGCTATTACTTTTTTATTCACCTATGTAATAATAAAAAAATCTGATGTGAACACTGCATGATTTCCTTGTATGGTTTACAAATTATACACATTTTTTGCTGCATTTCATTTAAGTTTATTTCCTCGAATTTTATTACACATATATTTCTCATTCAATTAATTCAGGTTAATTCTTCAAGGCAAGGCAAAAATACATAAAAACCCAAATCATCTTCATTAAAAGTTGTAAAATACAGAAAAACATAAAACACCACATACAGTAAAAAAAAAAAAAAAAAATTGCAATTAAAATTAGAGTTTCGAAGCAAAAAGAAGCAATTTAACCAGCAGACAGGAAGACAGATTTTTCAGTGCACAGAACTCGAAGTTTACTTTTGGTCCCACTCTGAAAAGACACTGAAGTTAGTGCAGCAACTGCCTTAATGCACTGTTCTTTCAAATGTACTGTTCAGTTTCAAATGTAGACAAGTGGCTGCTCTGTTACGCTTAGTACCACTTAAACAAGTTTTAAATTATTAATAATTCTGTAACTACTGCACGCAGATTAACTAAAGACACGAAAACCTGAACCAAAGCATAAGAACAACATAATTCAATCACTTTTAAGGAAAAAATGCACAATTTATCAACATATAAGAATAAAAAAACTGAGCTGAATGAGCCAGGTAAAAGAGTAGGTATATATTAATTCAAGCGGACATGTCGGGAAATTGGAACAGAGAATTGAGACTCAAGATTTTGACAAAGTGTATTTAATTAATTGAAAAATGTGTCGCATGCAGTTTCAATTGTCTATTTCGGCGAAACGCGTGATGGAGTTACCGTAGTTCGAAATGCATTAAAAATATTTCCCCTGACGTGCCTTGGTGAGCTTCGAATTGGGCTAATCGGCCATTTACCGCTTCTTAAATTTTTATTTATAACTAATTAGTTTATACTTTTACTATGTTTTAAATATACCTTAATTAGTTTAGCATATGCTTACTAGTGTGATTTTTATTGTAAAAATCAAAATCAATTTCTATTTCTCTTTTAACTTTCATTGCAACTAATTTTGTTTTTTTAAATTTTAACGGACCAGTATTTAAGCAGTTTTTCGCATTCGTACTAGAATTTTTCTTTTAACTTCTTTAATTTTGCAGCACAATGCGCAAAATTTTTTACCAGATAGGTCCTTTATCGTTTGTTCTTTCTACTTTACTTTAAATTATATATATATATATGTTTGGTTTGACCGACTGCAACCAAAAAAGGAGGCTCATAACTACATGTTATAGCAGTCCCATATACAAAATTTCAACATTTTGCAGCTCTCATTTTTGAGTTATGCGAGATATATGTGTACATATGTACATAGTGTTTATTCTCAAGAGACTTAAATACATATGTCAAGGGGGAAAAGCTCTTCTAAATCCATTTTATGATCTGTGCTGGGAAAAGGATCCTTCAGTCTGTCTGTACATACAGATATCATGCTAAAACATCATTCAAATGGATTTGAGTGTGGTGAAAATGAATATTTTCATTTAATAGTGGTACCCAGAATTTTTTATGATTACAATACTTCTTTTACTTTGTACTAGGAAGTAAAAAGAGAGAATGTTGACTAATGATTTTGAAATTTAATCTACATTAGAAACTGATTTTTGTTGATTCACTTTCAAGTAAGACATGTATTAAAAGAGTTTATTTATTTTTGGTGTATGTGTATAGTGCATATGTGCATGCAACCAAACGACGGACGACTGGCTGGCTGCAGGCAGGGAATGCGCATGTACTTTGATGTCTCATCATTTCACATTTCAGATGGCTATTCTTGTACATACTTTAACCTGTGACCTTAAAACATTAATTAAATAAATATATTACCTATATTAATGCTTTGACTACATTTCATTCCTCTAAACCTATTTCTTCTAGAGGTTGGGATTTAATATTCCCTCAGTGTATTGCTTAGCTGTTTTTTCCTTTTAAAATTTTTTTTTCCATTTTAGCGTAATTACATGCTTGATATCTAATTGCAAAATTTATTTATATATTATATATTTTTGGCAGTGTTGAAAAAAAGGAAGAATTACAGGATGACATGAATTTTTAACTGCATTTATGATATATAATCAAATATTTTATGAATCTAAGTTACATAAAATTATCTGAATACACAGTAATCAAATTTAAAGAGTTTTAAAATTTGATTACTGTATTCAAATAAGTTTATGTACATAAACTGTTATAGTTCCTCCTGTTATAGTTAGTCCTTTTGAATGCTGTTCAAGATCCTTTACCCCGATGCCTTCTTGATTACTTAATCAAGTTACCATCTCTGCGCAACTTCCTTGAAAGTTTGTCTGACAGAAATATATCTAGGTCTGTGACAAGACCTGGACTTCAGCCTATATATAGAGAAATGGATTCACAACTTACTACGGTATTATATGCTTTTAATATGGTTTTAATCAAACATACTTGCATTTAAAATAGGCTGTATCATTTACATATTGCACAAAGAATTTTTGAATACTTCAAAAGAAAACCTCTTCATGATATTTATTCTTTTCAGTTTGTAATAAAATCATGTCTTTGATAAATTTACCTAATTGCCAACTGGTGATGTATCAGACCTCTTGTTTATTTTCAGTATTATAAAAGTGTGTTTCTCAATATAATATAAATTAAGTCATTTAAGAATTATATTACTTGATATTTCATAACAAATTTTATTTTATGTTCTGAGTGTTATAAAGGGGATAGGTTTCTAATAGTGTATAATGGGTTAAAAATTCTGATTCAGTGTCTTCGGTATATTATAATCTAAATCTGAAAAAATCAATTAATTGTGAAGATTTTTTTCTGTAGGAACATACAGATTTCAAACCTTTATGTATAAATTTTTGATATTTTGATATTTTCCCCTTTATTTCATTTTACATTAAAAAAAATGTAGAAACAAAGACTTTTAAAACTGATTTTTTTCCCCCCTAGAATTTTAATTTTATCCAACAGTTAATTGAGTTTCATGTGTTGACAGCTGTAGATATCATGCCATTAAAATTTTACATTTTTAATATTTAAAAGTTTATGTTAAATGTTTTAATGGTAAACTGTTTTTCAAGGTAGAAATGTTTGCATTGCAAGACATTTTATTATTATTATTGTTGAAGTTTATAATTTTATTTTGCTGACTCAGATGTAAAATTTTTTATTGCAGATTTATTTTCGCTTACAGTCTGATGGAATGACAGAAGTAATTGAAGACCAGATATTGGTAATGTAAAAAAATTCTTATTAATGTGCTTTTTTAAAATTGTGTTAACTGAAATATCTTTTGAAATATGAACTCCAAATATATATACGAGTAGTTTAATAAAAATATTATAATTTGCTTTCTATGTCTCTGTAGTGGAAGTGGTTATTAGGTGAGTTGCCATAATCTATTTGTTTACATGCTAGAAAAATTAAATTGCTTGAATTGACATTCAGAAAAATAATCAAAAGTTCACATTTGGCAATTTTTATGCATTCTATGTAAAATGAATTCATTTTCACATTATTTTGCAAATTTAATTCTGAGTAACAGTTTTTATAATTTTCAATTTTTGTTATGGATGATAATTTTAATTTAATATCTTTTTAAAGTATTCAGATGCATATTTTAAATTTCCGTTTATTAACTGGAATTGCAATCGAAATCATAAAGGATTAAGTATATTAAGAAACTATTAACTATCTGATTGTTAAGAAATGTGACTATTATTTAGCATTTATTACCTTTACTTTAAATTATATCATGGGGTACTAATATTAGTTTTATAGACATGTATAACGAAAGTTCTAAATAAATAGCATTTGAATGCATACATTTTGTTCTTACACACATCTTTGGTAAATACAAGTTAATTACAAAAGATGTGTTGAGAAGAAAATAAATTTAAGTAGGAAAATATTATATATATGGTATTGCTTTTCAAATGTATATAGTTAACTTTAACAAAACTTAATTTCTTTATATATGCATGTCAGTTTTTATTACGAAACATTTTAAAGAGAAAGAATTTTTTTATCCATCCATATAAATATAATTTTAGATATGCAGAAAGCTGTATGTTTACATAAATTGTACTAATACATATTTTTCCAAATTAGTAGATATAAATGTTGAACTCTGATATAAATATCCTTTTTTATAAGAACTTTGATATATTTTTAAGATAAATGACACCAGGAAATACATTTTAATTTATGTAACTCTTTGTGAAAGGGATTTAAAGTTACATTATTTTATTTTATTTAACATTTTTTATTATAATAATTTCTTTAACTAGTAAAAAATTATAATAATCATTTGTTTTGTTTTACATTGAACATCTGTACAGGCAATGAAGGAACATTTAATGAAAGTGCATCTGAAAAAAGCAAGGTATTTTAGTAAGATTATGCAATACCTTTTATTTTTTTACCCTGAACTACTACTTTATTTTGCATTTTTTTTTTTTTTTTTTTTTTTTTTTTTTTTTTTTTGAAACGTATAGAGAGTGGTGCTTCAAAAACTGGCCCATGCACATGTATAAACAGATGTTAGCTTGTCTCAATTGTCAATTGCTTTGTTGTTATGGTTGTTATGGTAAAATATTCAATTGTCAGTACAATGAAGATGTAAATACAAAAACCATGTGGAGGAGCTCAGTGACCTGTTTCTTTTCAAAAGAACTGCAATAATTGAAGTTCAAATAGGTATTGCCTGGTTTTTCAGGCATCACTCTATTAATACTCACATTAAAATCATGAGCTTTTGGAGTGAAAATTCATCTTTATATTATTATTATTATTATTATATATTGCAGAACTTCCAGTTTTTATGTTTATCTCTTTTATCAGTTATCAAAATGAAAATAAGTGATTTATGTATGCCTTGTGACAGTATCAGCTTTCCATACTTAGTTCCATGACTCAGATTATGCCTAAATATTAAATTTTTTAAAATATGTTAAGAAACTTGCTTAACACACTTTTTTCAGTTTGCACCAAGAATAATTTGTTGAAATTCTTAATTTGTGATAACTCGTTTTCCTTTCCTTTTCATTGTGCACAGGTGGGAAAAAAGAGTACATCATAATTTTCTTCATATTACATTCTTTAATCATAGTTGTTATTTTTAGATATTTTTTCCTCTTTAGAATTTTATTTTAGTTATTTGAGTTGTATGGTTTCTTCAAATTATTGTTTTATAATTTTCTATTTATTCATTCTATTTGTTCATACCTATTTTAAGTGTATTTATTTACATAAATTTTCGAGAATTTGATTTTATTTATTTGAATAGCATTTGTTTCGAAAAAAATTCTTTTTAACTCAGACTATGATGCATTTGAAAACTACATATGTTAAATGAGAAAATGCAGTTAAGTACAGTTAATGCACATTTCAATGAGCCATTTAGAAAAGATATATAAATGAGAAAGAGTATAACCAACAACTTAATTTAGGATGCATACGTTGCTTCAAGCAGTTTTATCATTGTGCCATTGCTTTACATAATTTTATCATCCTATTTTTAATTTCTTAAAATATTATTCATATTTCATTTTTAAAAATGCAAGAAACAAATAGCATAAGATTTTAAAGTATTTAAATCTCAACTTAAATATTATGTTTTATACAAAAAAAAATATTTACTCTTCTTAATGCCTTGTCATTTTTCTTAAAGGCGTTCCACATATATATTAAAAATCAACCACCTTTTTTTTTTTCACATTTTGAAACCTCTTAATATTTCTGACATTCATATAAGTAAAGGTATCTTCTATTTTGTCACTATGTGGTCAAAGTAAAATAGGGAAGCAACTTTTACCATGATACTGAATGTCTTTAGAGGCTAGGCATTTTGAAGGCATGAAATGAATGAAAGATTGGTTTCAGCAATTGGGAAAAAGTCTGTCTTCTACTAATTTGACTGAGAGATCTTGGGATTCTACATTTATAATATAATATATTATGTTCTATGATGTAATTTAAATTTACACAATCATTCAGTTGAAAAACTGTTGGGTATTCTTGTGTTATCAGAGCCAGATTCAGAAATATATGTATGTATGGAAGTGTGTATGTATGTATGTGCATATGTGTGTATATACACACATACTTATACAATACAAAGTCCATAATCCGGACTCGTCTGGGCTTCGGTGATTCTGGATTAGGGGTTTTTCTGGATTATAGATCATCAATTTAAATCTGGTAAGATGGCATGCAGAAATTATACAGTTAAAAATATAAAATCGTAATTTATGAAATAAAGAACAATTATGATCTAAAGGGTATCAAAATTTACAAAAAAAAAAAAAGCTTAATATTTATTTGTTTACTTTATTAGATGGATAGGCCGTTATCCATTTTTTGCAGCAATTCCACTTTTTTTAATGGACATCAAAACATGCTTTCGCTTTGTAGATCCTTTGGCAGCTCCAGAATTGGAAATTCTTTTTGACATAATCGAAAGTTCAAGCTTAATTTGTATAAAATTGTTCTAACAGTCTGCAAAAAATAATAAGCGGGATTCAATTAGAAAATTAAGGAACAGCGCAATCTGCAACATTAACTGAAATGCCTTAAATAATCAGGGTTGCCACGCTACCTGGAAAACCGGGAGAAGCGGGAAAAGTCAGGGAATTCGAAAATTGACCAAAAAATTCAGGGAAAAGTCAGGGAATTTAAGTATTTTTGTCAAAATCTGGAAAAGTCAGGGAAGTTCATACAATGATCCCGCCAAAAAAAGCGATTTTTGCGCCGACGTCGGAAGAGATAACTTTTTTGGCGAATTGCGTATCACGTGAGTGTCATTCGGGCAGCTGGCATAGAGCCAATTTTCGCAGCTCCAATTTGATTGTCTTTTAGAAAGGCAAAGCAAGTTTCCCGCAACTTTTGGTTTCCAGTATTCTCGAGAATAACATGTGCAGTGCATGAACTAAAGAAAGTACCTGTTCTCGTATAAAACAAAATTATACGAGAACAAAATGGATTTAATCTTAGTATACGGTACCATGGAGGTTAGAATCAAAGAATATGTATTGTAAAGAAGGAAAACCTCTCTGCAACAGACGTGGCTCCGTTCCATCATAGAGGGAAACAGCTGTGCATGCGTGATATATCTGCTGCCAAAGCTCGAAACCGTGTGTGTGGAAGTTCGAAGTCACGTTATCAAGAGTTCATTAAATGAATATCCTTTAAAATTTCTTTAAACCACTTGCGCTAAAAAGACGTGCTAATGCACGTCGAGATGCTTTTGTCTCAAAACTGCGAGCGACGTGAACACCTCGTCGATAAGGCATTTATCGCAAAAATGAAAACAACATAGTGCACACGCTGCCTAACAACGAGACTGTTTATTTTTCGAGTTACAGCTGTGGATTGCGTGGTGCACACGTCGCCTAACAACGAGATTGTTTATTAGCTCTAGATTGCACTCGCAGACGCAGAGCGGCGTAAAATGAGACACTTTACCGCTTGCTTATATTGTAGCGCACGGCACCGCAACTGTGAAGTTTAGTCTTAGCGCAAGTGGTTAAACTCTAAAGGAAAAGAAAATATTTTTTTGGCGCAAGTAAATTAATTCATGGGTTAGTAATTTTCAGGGGGGGGGGACTACGAACATCCGTTTTTTTTTTAAAATTATTGCGACAAATCTAGAAGAAACGTCCTTTGATAAAACCTTTCTTTCCTTTTATAAATTTCCTTTTCGTAATAATTTAAAAACGGATTTTCGTAGCTTTCTTTTTGTCAAAGAACGTTTCTTCTTAACACGTTTCTCAATTTCCGGTACACATCGCGGAGAGGGAAATTCTGGTCGCCAGGTTCCGTCGCCAAATCCCTTGGCATATTTTCCCTCCGCATTCTAGCAGCGTAATAGCATTTTACTTGTATGGAACCTTTTCTTCTTTACATAGACCAAAGAATCAGAGATTCTTGCATAGACGTTCTTTGGTTAGAATAATCTCCAGGTATGGTACAATGGGATTTGGCGACATGATGATGCGCAGAGGGTAAAACGGGTCATTTTGGTCTTGGCGACAATTTTCAAAATCGTGCCAAAGCCTTACCGTATACTAGAATTTTATCGCAAAATCTTTTAAACTTTTTTTTTTCTTTTTAATAAATACCTTGCCATTTTGCAGTAAAAAATAAAAAAATAGTAATCTGTCATCTAGGCTAACCATGTAATATAACTATATTCGCTAAAATATCGTTGATTATTCTAATTCAATTTTTAAGTAATTATCTTTATTTTTTATGTTATTCGTATAATTTAATGATGCTTCTTCCCTCTAAATTTATTTATTATTAGTAAATAATATTTCCAAATTTCAGGAAATTTTTCTCTGGCATAATCTTGAAATTAATTCTAGCAGTATGATGACATACCATCACGAAATTTAATGCACATATTTTTTCCTTATGTATGCTGCGAAATAATATAAATACCTCAATTTATTAAAATAGATTTCTTTCTTTCGTTTAGCTGCAGAATGTCTGCAAAAAAAGCCTTATTTTATTCCAGATTGGGAAGATTCTAATCTCAATCTTCAATGGAGAAAACAACAACTATTATAATTTTAATTTGCGTTTTCAAGTGTTAAGGTGCTTTTTAAGAACATACCTCACACAAATTAAATTTACCTAAAATCTAACCTAACTATTTAGCATTGCATCGTGATTTATAAGGACCGGATTAGCCTCGTGTTGAACTGGTGATGATCATGAGTAATAATTAAATAAAACATACATTTGTTATCCAATTTATATATCTTAAATTTTATTAAGTTTCTTAAGTGGAAAAGTAAACAAAATTATCAAACAAAGTATACCAAAAATAATTAAGAATAAATGTCCTTTGGGATTTATTGAATAATTAAGTGAATTTGCTACACAATACAAGTAATACCATAATTAATTTACCTCTTAGCATAGCCAAAGTACATTACGCGAATAGACTGGAATTTTCTTGAAACACACCTGGAAAACCTGGAAAAGTCAGGGAATTTCATTCTCCTGTTTGAGTGGCAACCTTGAATAATTTTAGGGTAGCTTATACCGTCCGTTATACATTAAACGCACACGCGTAAACACATTAATGCGTTTACACATGCGCATAAAGTTTGTAGCTTTGAGGTCTAGATTATGGATGTCCGTATTACAGTCTTTGTACTGTACATATGCATATATGAACACATATCTTCTTATATGCATGCCTACATATATACATTTTTCAATCTGGTCCTGATAACAGAAGAGTACTATCAGTTGCCCTTCGTTTCACTTTTGATGATTTTTCTTGCATTTTTTTTTTATTACAGGTTCATTTGCAGGTATATTTGATGCACTGCAGTATGCAAAAAAAGTTAGCAAAATATGGTGTAAACCTCC